AAAATCTTTTCCTCAAATCCCCTCTAAACCTCCTGTCTTTCACCTTAAAATTATGCTCCCTTGTGTTTGACGCTTTGACTATGGGGAACAGTTGATTTTTATTCACCCTGTCGTGACTCTCGTAATCTTATACACCTCCAACACGTCCTCATTAAATCTTCTCTGCTCCAAAGGGAATAACCTGGGCTTACCCAGCCTCTCTTCAAAGCTGAAGTGTTGCATTCCAAGCAACATCCTGGTGAATTTCCTCTGCATGTCCTCCAGTGCAATTATAACTCCTGGAAATGGTGAGGAAAAACTTTGCCCCTAAAGCCATTCAAGTGGAACTTTTCTGCACCTTCTCTCTGATTTCATTAAATTATAGAACAGCACATCACAGAAAGAGGCTATTTAGCCCATCCAGTCTACACTAGCTCTTTTAAGAAGTAATCTATTTAGCTTCTCTTTCCATATAGCACTAAAATGTATTATCCTGCAAATATTAATCTAATTCTGTTATAGTCATAGAGGCATACAGCACTGAAACAGGGCCTTCAGCCCACCTCATCCATGCTGACCAGGTTTCCTAAACTGAACTAGTTCCATTTGGTTGCGTTTGGCCCATATCCTTCTGAACTTTTTCTATCCATATACCTGTCGAAATGTCTTTTAAAATTTGTAATTGTACTTGCTTCTATCACTTCGTCTGGCAGTTCATTTCATGTATGCACTACCCTCTGTGTGAAAATGTTGCCCTTCAGGTGCATTTTAAATCTTTTCCTTTTCACCTTAAATCTATGCCCTCTAGTTTTGGACTTCCCTAACCTGGGAAAAAGACCTTGGCTATTCACCTTAATCTCTGCCTCTCATGACTTTATAAACCTCTATAGGGTCACCCCTCAACCTCCTATGCCCAGGGTACAAAGTCACAGCCTATCCATTCTCTTTTTATAACTCAAATCTTCCAGGCTTGGTAACATCCTTGTAAATCATTTTTGCACCCTTCCTGTTTAATAACATCCTTCCTATAGCACGGCAACAGGAATTGTACAGAGTATTTCGAATGTGACTTTACTGATCACAAACAAAAACAAAAATTGCTGTAAAATCTCAGCAGGTCTGGCAATATCCGTGGAGAGAAATCAGAGTTAACGTTTTGGATCTGTGGACTCTTCTTCAGAACTGATGGTGGCTATGAAAACGTTGTTTCTCGTGCAGAAGATAGGGTGGGGGAGGGGGTAGGGAGAAAACAATTGATACAGATGGAGCCCAAAGAAAAAGAACAGTTGGACAGACAGAGAGGTGGATAACAGTCAGCCTAAGTCAATGAATAGCTGGGAACGGAGATTATTAGTGGCTAACAATAGATAGTATGTAATAGCAGACCATGTAATAACAAGGCTTGGTGTGTGGGGGTTGGGATAAGAACATGGGAGAAGGTGCCTCAAGCCCTAAAATTGTTGATCTTGGTATTGAGTTCAGAAGGCTGTAGAGTTCCCAAGTGGAAAATGAGGTGCTTTTCTTCCAGCTTGTGCTGAGCTTTGCTCAAACACTGCAGAAAGCCTGACAGAGAGATGTTGGCCAGGGAACAGGGTGGTGTGTTAAAGTTACAGGCAACTGGAAGCTCAGGGTCCTTTTTGCAGACAGAACAAATGTGTTCTGCGAAGCAGTCACCCAGTCTACGCCTTGTTTCCCCAGTGTAGAGGAGACCACATTGTGAGCAGTGAATGGGACTAGTAAATGGGACTAGTTCAGATTAGGAAATCTGGTCAGCATGGGTGAGTTGGGCTGAAGGGTCTGTTTCCATGCCGTATTGCCTCTATGATTGTAACATAATTGGATTAATATTTGAAGGAGAAAACATTTTAGTGCGATATGGGAAGAGGGGAAGCGCTGCTTCACCTAAAAGATGTGTTTGGGGCCTTAGATACTGAGGAGGGAGTTACACCTTCTGCAGTTGCAGGGCAAGGTGCCATGCAGCTGTTCCTTTAAAATTGTATTCTTTGATATGCAATGTGTTTTCTTCATTCCTCTCTCCAAAATGCATCAGTCACACTGAACATGACTGAACTGCATCTGTCATGAGTCTGCCCAATCCACCAGCCTATTTCCTCCTGAAGTTTATTACTATCTTCCTCACTGTTAGAGTCGTAGAATTCCTATAGTGCAGAAGCAGGCCATTTGATCCATTGAGCCCACACCAAGGAGGAAAACGCAGCATTCGGACGAAACCCACACAGACACAGGGAGAATGTGCAAACTCCATACAGACAGTCACCAGAGGCTAGAATTGAACCTGGGTCCCTGGTGCTGTGAGGCAGCAGTACTGTGCCACTGTGCTACCCCTTATACACAGCTGTTAATTACACCTCCAAGTTTTGAGTCATCTGCAAATTTCAAAGCAAGCAATATCTGGACATAGGAATCGCAATGTATTTCTCCTTACAGTTTGAAAGACTGCCACTCACCACATCTCTGTTTTCTTTCTCTTCACCAATGTTGTATCCATTTTGCTGTATTGAACCTCTCGGCTTATTTTTGCTTCAGCCTATTGGCTTAAATTTTGCTGATAGATCTAATATATGGTAATTTATCAACACCTTCTGAAATCCATATACACAACATTCCAGCACTCTCCTCAACCACCTGTTTCTTAAAACGTTTAACTTAATCTCTTCCTATTTTCCTCCCTCTTTCAACTTAGAAACCTTGAAAATCCTAGGATAACACAAAAGAGTTCAGACCCAGATCTCTGCTCCTTTCCCTTTGGTTTGGGACTGGAGCTGAATTAAAACTGTTCTTTTACACTGAGTAAATCTGGCACATTTTTTTGTAGACATCAACATGATTTGGAAATATAATTGTGTGCTAAATCTTCTGCTTCTTTAGTTTTTCAATTTACATTCCACTAATAACAGAATAACAATGTTGTAATACAAATATTTGCAAAGCCTATAATTTTTCTGCACTTTAATAAAATCACATCCAACAAAACATATCTTGGTAAGCAAGTTCTATATTTATCTGACCCTTTGTGCTTATACACAAGAGCATCGCATTTCTCATGCTGTTAGTTCTTGCAGAGAAAATTGTGGTATTATATAGAGAACCACACATGAAAATGAAGACATAGAACCACATAAGAAAACTGAAGCCTCCATCACCAGAATTTGCAGCAGCAGCTGGAGTAAATCAACTGAGGTCAATGAAGCAAAGGCACAATGAAGTTCAACATTTTCATGGACCACCCTACTTGCATTTTACAAACAGCTTCTTTCAGATTTTCTTTTTGGAGCAATTCTGAACACACTTCAATAACCTACTCAGAAACATAGCCTCATATTAGCAGAGAGCCACCTGAATGTTAACAGAACAGAGACCACAGATATTCCTGGCCTACACTATGCACCACAAGATATGCTTTACGTAATATGAATTGCAAACTATTGATTATGACTCTTGATAAAATTGAAAGTTGGTCACAAAACAGGAACTGAACCGAGTGACAAATATCAGTACAATTTTATTATCCCAGTTAGCCGCACGAAACAAGTGTTTAGCTTCTCATATGGTTAATAATGATCAGAATGTCAATTAAAGTACTCCACAAACTGAGCAGAGCAGTTCTTGGCCCTCCACCATTTTGTGATTGTTGATCCTAAGCTTAATTTCAAACCCTGTATCCTTGAGGTCACACAAACCATCAATGTCAACTTGTATAGAATCTCAAACAATATTTGCTACTTTCAGACTCAACTATTCCAACAGTCCTGTCGTTTGTTTTTCATCTTGTACAGGCTTAACTTATTTAATTGGCTGCAGTGCCTTTTCATCCATCAAATCCTAGTCACCCATCCTTGCCCTAGTTATTTAAATTTACAAGATTCTCAATACTGTTTAAAACCCTTCTGGCATCAGTAGTGCTAACCTCTCCTGACTGCCATTAACTCTTACTTGTCCAACCTACCTTCCTTCATCACATGATTCATGCCAGAGCTACCTTGGTCCCAAACACTGGAATTCCTTCACTAAACTCTCACACTGCTGCTCCTTTAAAACTCTTCAGAAATTCCACTCATCATCCATCAGCATCCATTTATTTTCTTTGTATTGATAGAATCACACTGAATATAAAATCGTATACTAAAGAGACCCTTCAGTCAATTGAGTCTTTTGTGAAGGACTTTGAAGTGTGGCCAATGTCCATTGTTGTTTGGAAATGGTAAGTTTCATATAAATTGTGGACAAGAGAGGAGTCAGTACTATTGCAGTGTCTCAATGATACAGAGACTAGGATAACTCAACAGCCTTTCCTTTATTCTTCCATCTTGCATGCTTATTCTATCTCCTACTTTTCATTTTGTCTGTCTGACTGCATCATTCCTCATGAGCTTCTGATGTGGGTAGACCAATGAAGGAAGGACTTAGCAAAAAGAAAGTCAGCAATTTTCCAGAAGCTCTCCCAATCCCCATCTACAACATTAGTTGGGGTTCAACAGGAACGAATGGCCACTCATAGTATTTCTATGAGATCTCCACGGAGTAGTCAAACTTACAGCAGCACATTGGCAAACCCTTAACCAAAATTTTCCTTGTAAGCGTTTCTGTCAGAGAAGGAAACTCAGGTAATCCCTTCCTAGGCTCCCTGAGCTCAGTCTGACAAGCAGTTATGTACATTGACCCTTTGGGCAAAGAACAGTGCACAGCATAATGGGAATTAAAACAGATGGAGGAAATAGCTTGCAAAGTGAGAGCATAGGAAAATTTAAAGGGTACTTATTCCAAAGTTTCACTAATTACATAAATAAAAGCACACTCTATACTAGTTCATACCCTCATATTGCAAGACATGTCTCCAAGAATACATATTTACCTAAGCAAAACATTCATGTTCAAACTGGTCCTATCGCAAAGCAACTAGAGTTCAGTTTAACATCAGAACATTTTGAAAGGTCTCAAAGGACAACTTATTGTAAACTTCCCCAGAGGAAGAACCCTGAAGAATCAATTTCAGTACTCACCTCCTTCCATTTCCTCCTGCCAGTTCCTACTGCTGCTTGCAGGTGAGCTTGGTGAAGGGTAAAACTCCCCACCTGGACTAGTGTCAATATCATCTTCCATTGAACCAGATTTGTGTCTTTTACTTCTGTTGAGGAAGAAAGACTCTCTTACATGTTGAATATAAAAAAGATCATGCCATATTTTTTAATTTGCCTTTTTTTTTACCCCAATGAGAAGTCGTCTGAAAATTCTGAAGAGGTTTGACAAGGGGAGATGACAAGAAGCCATTCACCTGTCTGGGGAACACAAGTTGGGGCACAATCGTAGGATAAAGAGTTGATCATTCAGGACTGAGATTCAGGGAGTTTTACACTCAGAAGGTTATGGACTTTACCCTATCACAGAGGACAAGGGAAGCACCATACTCAATATACTCAAAGCTGAGACATATAGACTTTTGACGTCACATAAAATCAAGGATTATAGGGAGTTGATGGGACAATTAAATTGAGGAAGAGAATCAGCTATGATCATACTGAATAGTAGAACAGGTTCAAGAGTTCAAATGCTCTACTCCTGCTCCCATTTTTTATGTTCTTAATTACACAACAATCTCCTTCAGCAGCAAGAAAATAAAGGACCCAACAATTCATCACGTTGTAATGCAGCAGATTCTATGCTTTACTAAAGGCAATGCCATGAGAGATATGTTGATGCATTGTTTTGTGATAAGACAAGAATTCTAACAATGAGTATCACACTACATTCATCCAATCTTACCAATTACAAGTAAGTTCAATATTTCTGTTTGTAGCAGTTTGGCACAGAAGTGTTTAAGGCCTACCCTGCCTTCGGTAGATTTACTGTCGGTGATAAGAGGATGTAATTGTAATTTCTCCCTTTCTCCTTTGGAGGTAATTCAATAGCAATTTTGTGACTGTCAGGGGATTAACCTATTTTTCTAATCAACCTGCTCAGAGATGTTATTCTCTGACATGTCTGGAGCAGGTGGGACTTGAACTCAGGCCTCCCCGTCCAGGAGTGGGGACACTACCATTGTGCCATAACAGGGCCGCAACTTTCTAATCAACCAGAACAGAGATGTCATTACATATGCCTGGAGCAGGTGGGACCTGAACTTGGATCTCCTAGCTCAGAGGTAGAGACAGTGCCATTGAACCAAAGAGCTCAGGGGTTTAATTCATTCAGAGAAGTGAAGAAACTTAAATAGTGTAACTGGGGAAACTATTGAGCAATATTTAATGGAGGTGAATGGGGGTCTCACCAGAGACTTTACTTTTGGGAAGGCCAACTAAATTAAGTACCAAACAAGCACTTAACTGGACAGTGGCTGACATTCCCCAGGTTCAAGGACCCTGGAGATGGAAATCCCATCTTTCATGTGCTGCCACCTGGTAGGCTAGTAGCTGTACATTGCGAGGTAGTTCCAGTGGGAGAGGTGGCTGCTGCTGTGGATACAATACCCACCAGGACTGACCCAGGATTGCTAAAAGACTCTGGCCACAGATTAGTGATGGGTGCCCAGCAGACAGCATGGCAGAAGGTTCAGCATTAACAGCAGGAGGTTTAGCTCTCAGCAGGCACCCTCATTCCTCTCAATCAGGCAGTCAGTGCCTTTGAACTCCTGGCAGGTGGCCTCATTGCTCAATATAGATGCTCAATGCAAAATACTGGGTAAATGTCCAGCAGACAATCAGCAAAAAAAAAATCATTCTGAATGGAAGAGCAGGTTTGAGAGGTCATATGTTCCATTTCTGCTCTATGACAGCAATGTCCTGCAATATACAAATAAATATTGTTTTTTTTAAATTGGATAAAAGTCCAGTAAATGCAAGACTAGAGTGGCACTAAGCTATTATTCTGTGGAAATCACAGATGACTGATTTACACCAATTTCATACTATAACTTCATGACATGAGAATTGCTAGCAGCATTTTTACTGCTTCCGTGATGCCACTGTCAAAATGCTCCACCACTCATTCAGAGAACAGCACCGCACAAAAAGAACAGCTCACACTAGTTTCCTGAATTTACATGACACATATCTGGTATTGATTTATGTCCAACAGTATGGTGGACCAAAGCCACTTGGTAAAGCATAACTGAAGTTTTCAGAGTTTGAATGAAATGTGGAAACATAATTCCTACTGAGGACTGAAATCTTCCTGTGATGTCATGTTTGGGCTCCAACAAACCGGATACTCTGCCAGTCCACATCTTCAGAAGGGCTAAGCACCCTGCATAGCTGAACATAACCTTGTGACACCTAATATTGGAAGAGGATGAGGATGAAGAGGAGCAGAAGGGGCTTTGAGAATGAGATGCTACGGCACATGATAAAAACCTTTTAACCTCTATTGCCCAGGGCACATCTGTACTTGTTTTATGCCAATTTTTACACTGTTGTAGCTGTCACAGGGATATGTCCACTTGCAAGATCAGTGCAAAGATAGGCAATTTTTGTGTAGGTGCAATTCAGCAAATTCAAAACAATGCAAGCCTGACATGGGACTGATTTCCAGATCGTGAAATCAGACTTGTGTGGTCATTTTCTTATTTTCCACCCAAGATGCTGGGAAATTTTCCACTAATATCTCAGCTATGTTTTTAAGATTAACTGTTAGACAGCCAGTGATAAATTGCAGAATATTGAATTCTAGACCACTGCAACATTGAACAGATGGTTGGTGTTGAGTTACAATGCAGCATTCAATTGAGTGATTCCAATTGCTCTAGTGGTTTCTGATTGCAAGCAGAAACGAAAGATCCAATTAATGTCTCAAATTTGCTGATAACTGAGTACAACATTTTCGAGTTTTGCTCTAGCTTTCCTTGCCATCATACAGCATTCCTGATAAATGCAAAATTCATGGGAGAGATGAAAGATAATACTGTTCCATGACTTGCAGGTGCATGGCAACATGAGATTTGATGAGATTTGTTTTTGATTCAAACCACAATAAAGTACTGCAGCAAAAATATTTATGATTAAATTCAACACAGCACTGAGAGAACGTAAACACATGGGGGTGGAAATCTAGATCCGGCATTGGGAACACCTTCATAGTAAGTGCGGAGGAGGGACCGCAGAATGGAGTGGAATCTAGTTCCACTGAGATTCTGGACTGTTCAGAATAGGTTGGGAAATTCTAATGGGGGTTCCCACCAGTGCAGCCTCCACCTGCTCCCCCATAAGAAGGGGATGTAGCTTGGGGAGTTCCCACGGCTCACAAATAAATTCCACATAGCTGCCTTTTTTGCATAATCGCATTCAGAAAAGACAACCAATACAGTGGAAGTCCATTATAATGCGTTTTGATGCAAATTCGCCTGTAGTTGCGGGGGGTCTCATAGCTCCCAAAAGAGATAAAACAATACTTAAATCCTCCTTTTGCTAGTTAAAAATAGGCGACGCTGTTTTATGAACATGGTCCAGCAAAACAGCTAAAACACTGTTTCAATTTCTGCACCTCAAAATCTGTAAATGAACGTTCACTATATATTCAAACTCCTATTTACTGACTGATATGTGCAGAAGAAAAAACGATCTAAGTGTGAAACAATAGGGAAATTGTCAGCTACAGCATAATAAGGCCACAAATTCAGCAATGCACATGACCAAGGCTGCACATTTTCAGGTCAGAGCTCATTAAAGTTTAGTTGATGAAATGGGGAAACAAAAAGAGGTGCTCTCTGAAGCTTGCTAGATCCAGGTGGTAGAACATTGATGGCTTCCACATTCAATCCAACAGCAGATGGGGCCATTATGGTTGGGGGAGAGTGGCTGTGGATCCTACGGATAGCAAGAATGACTGCTGATTAGGTGACTCGCTGTCTAGTACCACTGGCAATGGCAAGTTCATTTATAAGTTGAAATTGCAAATGAGGCCCTTTTAGAGATGGGAGACTCCAAATTGTATTATTAAACAATCTTGTCCTTGTTTTATGTATTTCAAGGCTGGACTGAAATCAGATGGCCAAATATGAATCTAAGAAGCCCGTCGAATATTCTTCTGTCAGGCAAAAATTTGGTAGCAAGCGTTTGAAAGTCCCGCTTCTGATATCTCAAGGAAACCAGCAATCCTAATAGTCTGATGATAAACAATGGCATAATAAATATTTCAGTTAGGCAGAAGAAGCAGCTGTGCACATTCTATAACTACTCTTTGTACTCTACATCTTATTGTATTGACAGCATTGGAATTTACTTAATGATCAGAAGCTCGAATAAACAGTAAATTTAAAAGGGAAGCATTGGAACTGTGTATATTTTTAACTTTTCTGAGAAAGCCATGGCCCCATTTATTAGAAAAGTCCTGCGGTGTAGTCTATTTATAGTCCCTCGTGGGTTATACAGTTTCAGTCACATACCCGCTCGATGAGCTACTTGGCAAAGTTCTCCTCATCCCTGCACTTGGTGGGTTCAAATCATAGGCCAAGTGACCTTGTAATTCTCCAAGAGAGAAGTTCGGCCCTGTTCCTGTCACAATGGGAGCTAAAAATTAAAGAAATCAAAACGTTTCGTTAAAATTTGTAACCAATCTTAGATTTAACTTTCTTTACAGGTCTGTTTGCATCTCTAAATTGGAAGTTCAGTTTTTATACCCTAATTACCATGCTGCTCTAACAACAACTAAATACAAATAAGTTTGATGATCTAAATTCAAAAGTTGACATTTCTTTCAAAACATTTACAAAAATATGTTTTAAAAAGTATGCTTTAAACATAGTATCTACTGAGAGATAATTTATAATGTTCTCTTGTTAGGATTCTCATAAATTAAATCTCTCAAAATTTTTAACTTTCTCCATCTAACATCACTTCCTAAGCTTGATTTATTTGTTACGCTGTACCCTGCTATGTGCAGTAATGACATCTGTTGTGTCCCAATGTCCATCAACAGAAAGAGATGCACCATTTCCCTCCCCTCCATGTAGGCAGTCGTTGAGTCAGCACCTTTGTCAAGAACTTCCGACAAACTTACATCACACTAAGGTATTAGTCACAAGAACTGTCTCTGTATTCTATCGTAAAGCCAGATACTTAATTTTTTGTGACATTTTAAATACATAATGAATTTGCATTAGTCCATCCAAAGGACTGCTAAGGGCAAATGATGCTAGAGGTTGAATTAAAAATCAGTAACATAACTGCTTGTTTATTTATTTTTCTAACAAGTTGAGGTAGACCTTTAAATTACATTAACTCGATATCAAACACCGAATGGAACATAAAGAACTCTGCTGTCAGATGTAGACTCCATTGGAGTCTATGAGTTTTGAAAGCTTAAAAAAATCAGCCTTCGCAAATATTGATGTAAATGCTGCAAACTCTCAGCTGCGGTATGACATGGCATGACCTGTAGGTTCTGGTAAAACTTGCAGGTAAAACAAAAGGGAACTGAAGAGGTGAAAAGGGGTTCACCAAATTAAAAACTGTAGAAGGAGCATCATTGGTTGGAGTTATGTTATTATAAAGGGAACACCTCAGTCAAATGAAAACCAAAGGGGTCAGTTGAAAGCAAAGAAGAACAAGGGGAGTGACCATTGAATGAGGAATATTTGACAGATATGGAATTACATGGAAACAACTGAGATGCAAAATAGAAGTGAATTTAGAAGAGGAGAATGTTGTTCCTGGGTGAAATAGCCAGTTCTTTACGTAGGAAAGCAGATTGCTTAAGTGTGGCCTTTGACAATACCTATAGGGTGGTAAAAAGTGGAGTTAAAGCAGTACAAGTGAAATAAAAGTCAGTAAAAATATTAATGGAAACTAAAGGTAACATCCACCTATGGGATAAATTTCAAAAAGAAGAAAGAGCATGGCAACCTTAAAACACATCTATTTGGGAATTGGCACAAATCTGAGATAGAGGATACAAATTATTGATTCATGCATTATTTCCAGTGATTGGAAAAGGAGGTATTGTTAAAAAAAAGATGAGATACATTAGTGGATAGCAGCATGTTGTAAGAATGCTACGTTCATAAATAACTTGGAATCCTTGGCAGAAATAAAAGGATTAGTACAGGAAAAACTGGCTGCACATTAACCAAACAGAAACAGAGCGAAGGTCAAGGAGCAAGAAAGACTAATTTAAGCAGGATAGCTGAGAGCACAAACTGGGAGGCATGGAGTTAATAGTTTCCTAAATGAGGCAGGTCTCAGAGTAGATGGAGGTTAACAGGTGCGTGGAATTTAAATCCAGAGGACAGGCACACGGGAGCAGGAATCGGCAGACACTGGGGAACATGAGAAGAAGCAAATCTATAATACAATATACACACACGAGCACTAGGAGCAGTAGAAATAAGATGCTGGAACTGCATACAGTTATGGCTGTTGGGAGTTAATAGTGTGAAAGCAAAAACACCAAGACAACTAAATCCTGAGGTTGGAACTGGGTATTATGTTCAAGAATAGAAAGTAAAGACAAAGTGCCTAGAAAGGGGATGGGATAACTCTATATATCAGGGACACCTAAAGGTAAAAGAAGGTCCATTTAGAATCTAGTTTATGCCTATTTTCAAGCTTGTGGCTTGTGACAAAATGGTACTGCAGAAAAGAAAACATTGAGACATGGATATTTCATACTAGAAAGGAGGCATGAGACATGACTTTAAAGTGGTATGTAAGATTGTTGAGGGTACAAAATCTTAGCTACAAAATTACTTTAAACTGCAGGAGAAGAACAAGGAAACACAGGTTCAAACTAATTCAGACCTGATGTCAGTAAATCTTTATTTGACAAGTGGATTTGAAAGTCTAGATCTGGTAATGAGAATAAAACACAGAAACTTTTTTTAGAAATCTTTTGCCACAACAGGGAGTTGTTGGAGCTTTCCATTGATAAAACAAGAGTAGATTACTAGCCCTGCTCATCTGGAATTATTTTACATTCCAGCCCTAAAATTTGAATTACACTTTACCATACAGACATTTTTATGAAATCAAACATAAATTCTTTTCTCATTATAGAGTACCTGGTTACTATATTGATTATAGATAAAGCAGTGTCCCAGGTATAAATAATAAAATCAGTGAAATGTTTCAAGTAAAACTTTAAATGGCCACCACTTTTAAAGATAAAGCTAAAGAACTGTTGTAAATGCAGTACCATTGTTATTAAAGGGACTTAAATAAAAACAACACTTACTTCTGGATACCTGCACTAGCTCATTTACATTGAAGACGCCAGAAGTCACAAAGCTGTCCTGAAATTCTGTGTGTTCTGCAAAAGATAAGTCAAATCAAGTCAATGAAACACTTGTGAAAGTATTACTTCCTTTCATTGATAGGAGATGTAAGCATTATTTTCAGGTGCTGGCATTTCAAAAGGTTAAACATTCCTATCTTAGCAGGTAACTGCAACTTTTGGGAACATATTGGAATCATAGAATTGCTATAGCACAGCTCCTTTCCAAAGCTCTGTCAGTGTGCTACCTTCATATACTTATCTAATAGCCTTTTGAAAGCTGTGGTTGAATTTGTTTTCATCACACTCTCAGGCAGTGCACCTCAGATCCAAACACCAGTGGCTAGAAAAGATCTTCCTTATGACATCTTTCTTCCTTTCCAATTACCTCAAATCAGTGTCAATTGGTTCCTGATCCTTCCACCAACAATGTACCCTATCCAGAACCCTCATGATTTTTAAGACTCCCACCAATCTCCACCCAAACTTCTCACTACGTTATTACTAATTTCTAGCTACTTTCCATATCCTATCATAATCTCTGCAGGGGACCCAAAATTCACAGTTTGATTGACAGTTCAAACAGGTCATTGAAAGATTAGCAGACTTTGATGTGGGATTATATGTACATTCCTGTTTGGTTTTGTAAAGAAATAAATACTTGGGGTGATTTTAATATTTGAATGGGCTTTAAGGAATCAGATTTTTTTAATAAAGTGAAGGCAGTAATAGACATTTATGATTTTATTTTAATTTCATCGCAACATGGTTGCTGAAGACTGCCCATGCTAGATAATGGGTAAATTGGAATGGAGGGTGTAAGGTGAAAAGGTCATTAAAAACCAGCTTGAGTTGTCATCATTTAGCATCTGGGGACTACAAGTGGTCATGGAAGTTGATGGGGGTCAGTATCAGTTAGCATGGAGTATCTAAGGGGTCACTGCAGATGAGTGCATTGACATAGTTGGGGCACGGGTTTAGCCTTAAATTGAACACTGCATCCAAATCTGGGCATTGCTCCTCAGACAGTCTTAACAGAGGATGCAGAAATGATATCTGAAGGGAGTTCTAAGGATGAAGGATTTTGGTAATGAGGACAGATAGGGATACTGGGTTGATCTTCGTACAGAAAGTTGAGACAAGCTTTATTAGGGCTGTTTAAAATCATCAGAGTGCAAGGCAGATCAAATAGGGAGAGATAGTAGGAACTGCAGATGCTGGAGAATCTGAGATAACAAGGTGTAGAGCTGGATGAACACAGCAGGCCAAGTAGCATCAGAGGAGCAGGAAGGCTCACGTTTCAGGCCTAGACCCTTCTTCAGAAATCATTCAGAAATCAGAAAATCTTCTGAAGAAGGGTCTAGGCCCGAATCGTCAGCCTTCCTGCTCCTCTGATGCTGCTTGGCCTGGGCTGTGTTCATCCAGCTCTACACCTTGTTATCTCAAATAGGGAGAAACTGTTTCCTTTGGCAGAGGGATTAAGAACCAGAGGGCATCATTTAAGGTGACTGGCAAAAGACAAAAGACAGCACGAGGGAATTATTTTTGCATTGATGAATGATAAGGATTAGAAATGGATGGATTCAAATGGTGCTGGAGATCGACTCAATTTTGCTTTTCAAAATACTTCAAGATGAAAAAATAAACTGCAAGTTCTGATTTCAGGATGTGATATGGAATTACCTGCCCTTGGAGAACCAGTGCAGATTCAATGGGCCAAATGATCACCTTCAGTGCTGTAACCGTTGTGCGATTTTAAGCCAGTGATTGCATAATAGCTGGTCACTAATTGAACCCTGCAAAGGGCATCTTTCTCTACTAGACTCCATCGGGCTATTAATCACAGCTTGTGCACTGAAAACCAATGAGGCAGTCAAAGCCAAGGCCATATGTTAGCTGCTCCCCAGCATTGATGGCAAACATGATGCATTGATTAGTTCTGACAAGCAAAGCTGTTAGACCTTCTTGTATACATAAAATAAAATCATATTCTCTGCAGATGATGTCCTGATGTCCCCATGCGATGCTTTGTTATGGGCAATGACTTTCATAATGTCACAACTGTAACTAACTCCAGCATTCTGTAACTGGGTTCAGGATTCAGTAAATCCCAGCTTATGATCATTTCATACAACATGCAATGAATCTGTAGAACTGCATGGTTAATCTAGTTTTATTTTTGTGTCAATGTACAGTGGACGTAAATGGGTTAATACCTCTGATTGCAAAATGAATTTAATATAAGCATGTTAAGAATATGGATGATAACACAGCCAATGGTCATTTCTGGTGCTGTATTGAATTAATTAGAACAAGTTAGTGAGTACATGGGAATCCTGCCATGCAGCTGATTTTAATTGAAGTGAAACTAATAACAGTACAACCACACACTCGATGGATATGACAGTCTAGTAATTATGACACTGGATTGACAATCAAAATGTTTTAACATCAAATCACACTGTACTTCTAGCAGGGAAGTGTCTGGAGTTACACAAGGGGACAGTAGGCCAAAACTCTCCTTTTTCAGGGGGCTTGTAACTACAGGCGTAATACCTCAGGGACAACCACCAGCTTTCTGAATGCTTCTTGGAAATTGGGCAGCTTGATGAGGCCTGTCTCCTTAGCAGCATGTACATGTGGCAGGTAGTGAAGGGGCAGCTCACAGCCTTCCAGCAGGGGCTATGGAGCATCACGGTTAAGCAATGGCAAAGGGGTCTTGCTGCCCATTTTGTTAGGGCAAGGTCATGGAGGAGAACCAGCCAAAGAACATTCATTTTACAAATCAAGGTCCAAGTTTGGTTCTTGGATCAACAGCTCTTGATTCTTCGTGCTGGTCTCTTCAATGTGTTGTACCACTTTCCACTTGAATGGAATTTCTCATGTCATCCTGGTCATTGCCCAGGCAATATGACAGGCACTAAATCTGTTCCGAGTCCTATGCTAATATTGTTCGTGATCAATTTGATAGGCCATACCATCAAATAGGAGATGTAAGTACCTCACTTATAAATTTTTCTGATCATAGCAGAGTGGTCTGAACAAGTTGCTGCCTCATGCAACAGAACATTTGTTCCTAGAAATACAGAGGCATCACTTCCTGGTTAGGGTGGAGATTATGGCATACAAAAGATAGGTGGAACATTAAGTAATGTAAAACATAGCCAATACGGTATGTTGGAATAGTTTTATTGTCTAATGAAATGGAACAGAAATTTTCCAAAAGTGTTCTGCCTAAATTGACCAGTTTTATTTTGCATTTTCTTCTCTCAGATTAGATGACTACTGTTGGTTGAGTGAGATGTAATGAATTGTGATGGCTTAACTCAATGGGATAAGCTCGATGTACCAATTGATCTTTTCCTATCTGCCATTTTAGTATGTTTTCCTGAGTGGGGACAGTTTAACAAATACGTTTTCAACCCTGAATTACACTATGTGATGTTTCTGTACTATAGTCTGTTTAACAAAACAGAAGCTAAGCTAATGTATAATGACATTTAAATCAAGTTCTGTTACCAATACTGAATGGAATTCTTTTGCCTCAGGACATGACACACATACTTTCTGATGTCAGCAATTAGTTATAAGCAATGATACCATTGTGTTCGCCCAGGTTCTTCCTGAGCAACTTTGGGTTGCTGGAGTCTGTGCTCCATGCACTGTTCCCAGAAGTGCACACCAAGATAGACATTAGTTGTGTCTTATAGACCATTAACCTGGTAAAAGATACTCTGTAATTTGCCTGTGTGTTGCTGGTCTTCCAATGCAAAGATCTGTCCTCAATTCAGTGTTGCAAACTGGCGCATTCCAAGATCCAGAAATACATGCTGAGTGGCAAAATGAAGCTTGGGGTAACTGCTGCAGAGGTGCCATGGGGTTTACATTAAAGGACTTTCAGTTTTAGTACAGTGAATGGATGGAAACTACAAAATACCTCAAACTGTGTGCTTTACGTAGAACGTATGTTGTGAAGAATGGAACATGGCGAATAGAAAAAATATAATTTTATTGCACTTTTGGTAATTTCCAATTTCAAACAGAACATGTGGTGTGGAAACCGTTGAATGTTATTGCAAATTCTGTGATAGACAAGCTGAAATGTTTTGTAATATATTTTCACAAATTTTATGAATAAAGTATATTTTTGGGAAAAAATGGGTGACAAAGATGACGGCCCAAAGTACTACCAACACATGTTTCTTTATTACATTTATGTAATGTTTTTCATGTCCTTGTTAGATTCCATGTACTTTATAGTCAATTAAGTAGCTTTGAAGTACAGTGTCTGTTGTGTTGCAAGGAAACAACAAGCTCCACAACAAGTTATAACTTAATTATAGGTGTTGACTGAAGCATAAATTTAGATCAGGACAAATGAACGGTTTCTGAGTAAAACTACGACATCTTCATCATCCACCTGAGAAGGCAGATGGAATCTCAGTTCAGCATTTCAGGTTAGATTAGGTGGTCAGTTCTCTGGAGCGGAACACGCAACTGTCTGATTAAGAACCAAAGTTGGTACCGCTGAGCTGAGAATGTAACCAGTCAGCCACGTTTGACTGTTATTGCCTCTAGATTAAACCTAATCATGTCAAGAATAGACTACCCATGCAAATTTTCTACTGTGAGAGGAAATGGAACTCAGTGTCAGTGATTTCACAGCCTTCTAAGAGAGTTTCCTGACAGAAGAAGATATTGAAATGCTTCATTTCATAATAAATGTCTCTTGAGACTGTGGTGGGGCTTCTATCCATGACCCCATCTATTTGAAAAAGCAGAAGCTGCCCTTCACTTCAAAGGAGCTGTGGGGAATTTCTAGACAGCTGTCCTAGATATAGAACGTAGAACTGTACAGCACAGGAACGGACTCTACAGTCCACGATGTTGTGCCAAACATGATGCCAAATTAAACTACTCCTTTGGTTGATATCCCTCCATTCCTTGCATATTCATGTGCTTATCCAAAAGTCCCTTAAATGCCTCTATCGTATCTGCCTCCACCACCATCACTGGCAGCGCATTCCAGATTCCTA